ATACAAACATAAACCAAAAAACGACAAACCGCTTTAAATATCTAAATATGCAGGCAGAATTTCCCTGTAGTGAATTCATCTGTCATATGATGTATGGTTAGGCCTAATGTGTAGCTGTCAAATATCTGTGTTTGTTTTCTAATATGCTTAAGTTTTGAATGAAACGACAACAATATCGCCTCCGTATAGGATTTAAAATGTGTTAAAGCAAGCATTTATTATGTTAAGATTTCTTGAGCATTATGTACAGGCACTCTTTTGTTGTTAATTAGATTCTTGTATTTGTTGTTAATTGTAGTCAAGATATAATGAGCAAGTTTATATATATATAGGTACTTTACACTTTTAATGAAGGTGTTTTTTATTCAGTACTGTAACAGTTAAAGCCCAATGTAGAAGAATACAATACAACATCTGTTGTGTTGCAAGAAAGTTCTACATTAGCCATATGTGATGGTTTTGAGTTGTTTAGGTGGATAACTAATAATTGTTATAGACTAATGCGCATCTACACCCGTGTATCGAAAACTATCTGATATAAGCTTTTTTGAAGCTCAATTGTAGCTAATGGTTTAATTATGGTATGTACAGTGTAATGTTTCCTTATTTTGATTTACAGATAATATTAGAAGACTAGATACGATTTGGATATAAAAAGTAAACGGCTAATATGTCGTATCTTGTTTGTTCGTCTAAAGGTTGTGCGCTAATGCTGTTGGCTTGACTTCACAGGAAGTGTGTTTAGATCTGGACTCGTTTCTGACACTGCTACCCTGTGGCTGCAAACTTGTGTTTGACTGTACATAGTGGAGATGGAAAGAGTGGGTGGTAAAGAACCACATCTCTGTTTTTCACATCTTTCAGGTGTTGTTTTCCCCTGTCTGTGTAACTGGGCTTGTGCCGAGTAATCGGTGTATTTTGTAACAGTGGAGTGTTCCTGCAAAGCTGAAAATGCTTCCCTCATTTGATTGTTTTGTAATTGTTCCTGTCTAACAGTCATCCCGTGAGAGTTTCTTTCTTTCTTTCTTTCTTTCTTTTTTTTAAGTCTGTTGTTCACATTATAGTTCAGGTGTTATGATCACTTTTTCACTACCAACCCTGTGGATTCAGTTCCCCTCTCTGTTTTACACACGTTATTGCACATCCTAAAATCATCCCTGGAGTGCCAAGGCAAGCAGATTCATCCTAAATGGGATAGTTCACCCCAAAATACATGTACATTTAATATCTATGCTTTCTTGGCAGCAATCAATACAACCAAATTTATTAAAAAAGGAATGTCATTAAAGGAATAGTTCACAAAACAA